TTCTTGATTCCAATATACTAAAATAGACGTGGTTTTATTGGCTTTATCTTTAATTCATTTCCGCCGAGGAGTGTTATTGCAGATATGAAATATTATATAATTCCACCGAACCAATTCCGAATGTTGAGGAAGTTCGATCACCAATCGCTGAAGCAAGAGACAATGGATCTGCGTCGTTCAATATTGAAAGTTTACAAGTCGCAAAAAAAGGGCGAGTCACAAGATGGATTCGAAACTTGGAAGATTGGTGTCACTTGGTTGTCTTGCCTACTTCTTCTTTTTATTTTGGTTTCAGTTGTGGTGAGTATTAGTTTTACTCTGGGAAGGTTAAATTCAGACAATAAGATTGCTTGATACCTTATTGATAAGCCGATACCTTATTGATATATCGCCAACAATCTATATATATATATATATAAACAAGTTTTGTGGTTGGCTGATTCTAACCAGACAAAATGCTGATACAGCTAAAGAATACATTTTATATATAACGAGGATCAAACACTGTTCAAACACTCGAATTTTAAATATGATAAAATACTCCTACGCGTGTTTTAAATAGCAAATATAAAACCATAGGTGATTTAAGTACAGTTTAATAAACGAGCAGGAGTGTTTTATTAGCAGGGCCGCGGAGAGCTTGGCGGGGGCCCGGGGCAGATTTTCGGAAAAAAAAATTTTCGGAGAAGAATAACCTCCCTCCCCCCCCCAATCGACAACTTTTTAGGGAAAAAATTTTTCCGGACGAGTACGTTGTAATTCATACCAAATTTCGGTACTTTGCCCAAAAAAATCAAATATGTTGCCCTTTGCGCGGCAATATTTCACCCAAAAAAATGTCTGGGGCCCAACAAAAAATGTCTAGGGGCCCCCAGGGTCAACCCCCCCCCCTCTCGGCGGTCCTGTTTATTAGGTTTAAAGCCACGAGTGCGCAGTGCGAGTGGCTTTAGACCTAATAAAACACGACCTGCGAGTTTATTAAACGGCTTCAAACACAACAACAAATTCAATAGATATACTGCGTTATTCGTATATTCTTTATATAAAGGACGCGACTACAATAGATACTGCCTTATTACATGTAGTATTCTTTATATAAAGAATACTGATTAGGAGTGTTTTATATAGGTTTAAAGCCACTGCACATGACATATTATGGTTGACATGATTTGCCAATAAGCTTATGAATTATTAATGAGTGTTTGAAGTAGTATACAGGGTGTATAAAAAAAAACAGCACAGATTTGAAATTGCTCTTAAATTCGCAAAACAGCTATTAGTGTCCAGTTTTGATGTATATAGCTTCTTTGGGTACCTATAATGTAGAAAAATGGAAAAAATTTCTCGAACTCAAATTTTGTAAACCAGGGGGGGGGGTGTCTTTTCCAACAAACTAAAAATGGCTTGCGCACGAAATTTAAAAGCTTTAATCATATTTTGAGTTGATAGATGGAACATTTGTTGGGGTTTTAATTACTGTACAAAATTTCAGACAATTTGCTTTAGTTTAAGCCCTTTAACTATTCATTTTTCTCTAAAAAATTAGCCTTTCGCATGCTTAATTAATGCCTTTACCTAATTTGCATATTGCTGACATATGCAAATTAGGCAAAGGCATTGATTAGCATGCAAATGGTGATTTTCAGTTAAGAAAAAATGTAAGTTTGCGTAAATGGTTAAGGGGCGTAAACTGAAGCAAATTGTCTGAAATTTTGTACAGTAATTAAACACCCAACATACTTTCCATCTGTTAACTTAAAATATGATTCATTTTGGTTTGTTGGAAAAGACACACACCCCTGGTTCACAAAATTTGAGTTCGAGAAATTTTTTCCATTTTTCTACATTATAAGTACCCAAAGAAGCTATATACATAAAAAAAACTGGATACTAATAGCTGTTTTGCGAATTTAAAAGAAAATTTCAAATCTGTGCAGTTTTTTTTATACACCCTGTATATTGCATTAGTTATATATAGTGTATTAATTGTATCGAGCGTTTGCACTCATTCCCCAGGGACCAACTCAGCAAAAGCCATGGCGGCCATGTTGGTGTTCCAGACAAAATAGTCTAGTTAAAATTCTTTTGAATGGACCTTTAACCTTATAACTAAAATTTTGATCTAGACAAAAATTTCATCACAGCTTGGAAGAGCATCACAAAATTAGTAATATTCCAAAGTTTCGTTACGAAATGTTGTAAAATGCGGATAATATAGCCCTGCGAAGTTTGCAATTTTCAGTCATTTTAGATTACAAACGGGAAATTGATACCCAAACACCCGATTTGGGTATCAATTTCCCGTTTGTAATCTAAAATGACTGAAAATTGCAAACTTCGCAGGGCTATATTATCCGCATTTTACAACATTTCGTAACGAAACTCTGGAATATTACTAATTTTGTGATGCTCTTTCAAGCTGTGATGAAATTTTTGTCTAGACTTGTCTAGATCAAAATTTTAGTTATAAGGTTAAAGGTCCATTGGAACACCAACATGGCGGCTGTGACGTCATATGCAAACGCTCTATATACATGTAGTATCTAGGTAAAATTTATATGAATAAAGCTTTTTTTTTAATTATTCTTATTATTATTAATACCGATTCTCACTTCTTTTTCTAGAATTACGCGGAGTCATTTGAAATGGACGAGAGCTCTATAGAAGCAACACTTTTCTACAATCAAAAAGTGACATAATCCTGGATTACAAATCTTCTGGCATATTTGTTGAAGTTATCAAGATTAAAAAGATAACTTTTATTGCGCTTTCAAAACGGTTCTTCGAAACAAATATACAGGGTGTTTAAAAAAAAGGTAATCGAACTTCAGCGCGCTATTATACGTGAATTACTCGGCGTATGAACAACTGGTTTTCATACTCGGAAAGATCAGGCTTTTAGCTATTGAATGACATGCTTTTCATATCAAGTGGAGAAAAAATAAGCATGTACGAGGCCGATTAAAAATGTTAGTCAAAATCGTATATTTTCACCTCTATAATTTTCACCTCTAATAATTATGAATATGTGTGTCGTTTATTCAAGTGAAATTCATCAACTTAAGTACCAAAGGGGGTCCATTTTCAATGGTTTTAAACCCAACTCTCAACGGTGAAAATATGCGATTCTGACTAACATTTTTTTTTATCGGATTCATATTAATTTTGCTCATTTTTTATTCATTTGGCATGAAGAAGATATCATTCAACAGCTAAAAGCATGACCTTTCAGAATGCGAAAAAATCTCGTTTAATTATACGCAGAGTAATTCAGATACAATAGCGCGCTGAAGTTCGATTATACCCTGTATATTTACAGCAGACCCTGTATATTTACAGCACCTCCAACCGAAGCATCAATACTTATTGACTTCAGCATTACCATAAAGTGCATGTATTGATATTAAATGTTAATAGTTAACACTTATTGACTGGGGCTTTTAGGAAACATATGAAGCAAGAAACTGATGAAGCAAGAAACAAACATACTCTTGCTTCGTTTAATTCATGTATACGACACCTGGCCAATTAATTAATTAATTAATAAAATAATTACGTTAATTTAAAATATTGAACAGTACTAACATTAATTTAATTTGTAAATAATCATATATTAGTTGTATTTGTAAATGTATTGTAATTGTTGTTAACTGTAATGTAATGTAATGTATGACCATAATTTGTATCAATTGTATTTTTTAACTATTTAAATCTACGCCCCCCCTTGGAAATCAGCCTTCGCTGTAGGGGTTAGCGTAGTTAAATAAAGTTTTACCTACCCTACCCTACCTACAACAAAAACGCTAAATATATTAGTATAAAACTGGAGACTGCACGTGCGTAATTTAAATGATGCGGCAACTCAGGAATCGGATGATAGACTATTGACGGCTCTGAGCTAACTGTTGCTGTTCCTTGCACGATTATGTGCGTGAGGCACTTGCCTAATGCGTAGTCGTCAGGGAGACAAAGGTGTGACCCTTGGTAACGGGTGATTAGAACTAATCGCCCGCTACAGCGGGCGATTAGTTAGTAATCGACCCTGTTGAAACAAAGGTAACCCGAGCAACTATGCTATTAAGTAGTTAATCTTTATATGCGTTGCTTTCGTAATAATTATATGAGGTGCTTTCGTCATTATATGCGGTGCTTTTTTCATTATATGCGGTGCTTTTGTCATTATATGAGGTGCTGTCGTCATTTTATGCGGTGCTTTCGTCATTATATGCAGTGCTTTTGTCATTGTATGCGGTGCTTTTGGCATTATACGCGGTGCTTTCGTCATTATATGCGGTGCTTTTGTCAATATATGAGGTGCTTTCATCATTATATGAGGTGCTTTCTCCATTATATGCGGTGCTTCCTTCATTATATGCGGTGCTTTCTTCATTATATGTGGTGCTTTCGTCACTATAAACTGTGGTTGTCGCCCGGGAGGAGGTAATTAGCCCGCGATAATTATATCCAGCCGTTTCCAAACGTTTGACAAGCATATTTCATATCACTTCGAAAACTACATTAGATTTCGAAAGATTCTGAATTTTGTCCTTGTTGGAAGGAAAATAAGAAAACTTTTTGTTTTCATAAAAAACTATAAAATTCACAGGAAAAGAAAGGCATCTTTTTTTTTTCTTTATGCAATTTTTAATTAAAGTTTCACCTTGTTTACCAAGGTGTGGAATGCGTAACCAAACGTTAGGCCTTGTGTCGTTTTTGTCAGAAAAGTTAGTGCGAGGTCGATCCGTAGAAAATTTGTTTTTGAGTTTGGATATCAAAAACATAAACATTTAAAGCTGTCATCATGCCTTGGCAACTTGTAATAGGACCATATATATATTGTAACTATAGTTAGTCTGATGATGACTTTGTAATAAAATCGAAATATTACTCACTAACTTTCTTGTTTGATTCGCATTTTGGGTTTCAATATGCTAATCTTCGGATTATGTTTTGTATATTTTTTGAATGTTTAGCATGCAATGTATTACAAATTTCACCATTAACAGGGTTCGAATAGCGCTCTTTAAAATCCTTGGAAGTCTTTAAATTTGAATGCAGGTCTTTAATGTCTTTGAAATGTCTTTGAATTGTGTGAAAAAGCGAAGAAAGTCTTTAAAAGTCTTTAAATTCTTTAGTGAGTATTTGATTATACCATTTATATGATTTCCTAGCTAATAAAATAGATTGATTGGAGCAAGATTTTCGCAAATATGGATGAAAAGGCGCATTTTACGATGTAATTAGACGGGACTAATTACTGGGTAAAAATGGTGCTTACATTCACAATTTTTCGATAGCTGATTGCTCTCAAAGGCCTTTGAAAAGTCTTTGAAAATAGGCAGAAAAAATCTTTGAAAGTGTTTGAATTTTTTGGTCATGGAGACTACGAATCTTAAAACTTTGTTTTGAGAAGCCGAGATTTTTTTAATGTGTCCCCAGAATGCAGGAAATGCTATTTGAGAGACCCAAATTTTAAAAATTTCCTGCAGGGCCATGCCCACAGGCCCACCCCCAGCTAACTCGTGTCTGCGGTACTTGGCTCACACCTTTGGCAATCGCATATTATCCTGGGTGGAGGGCTAGGAAAATGGGCCCTATGACAGTTTTGCCCCACCACTGGTGAATCCTTAAAAAATGCACTGTGCCATGGAGATATTGGAATCTCTTTTTATCAAACCCAAAAATGAGATTTTTGCCCGACATGTTCTAGCTACATGGCGTCAACAACCGAGTGAAGCACTAGATGAGTACCTTCAAGCTTTGAAAACTTTAAGTAAAGATTGAAATTTCAAGAACGTGACAGCTGCCCAGTACTGTGAAGAGAGTATTAGAGATGCATTCATTACCGGACTGCAGTCTAGTCATATCTGCCAGCGACTGTTGGAGAACAAATCCCTTGATCTCAAAACCGCATTTGACAAAGCTCGTGCACTTGAATTAGCTATGCGAAGGTCTGAAACCTACACTGCCACTCAACCGTCTGTAAATGCAGCAGTACCTATCTATTCTGATATACCACCGAGCCCAACGGAACTACCAGAAGCCAGCACCGTAGCTGCAATGGAGGTGGAAAACTCTTTTTCCTTCTGTGGGAATGCCAGGCATCCCCGTTCAAAGTGTTCCGCTCGTGATGTTACTTGTTTGATATGTCAGAAGAAAGGCCACTTTGCGAAGGTTTGTCGAGGCAAAACTGCTAATCCTAGAGGTAAAATTTCGTCTGCTGCCTGGTCACCAAGTTTAGCAACGGTCCCAACGATACCAAAATCCTTTTCTAATTCATCAGCCACTCTTCCCATGTACGGGTTGCCGGTAAAGGCCCTCTTTGACAGCGGTAGTAGTGAAAGCTTCATCCACCCCAGTATTGTAAAAGAAGCTGCTCTAACAGTCCTGTCCTCATCTAGTACCGTCTCTATAGCAACACTTGCATCATTATTTTAAATATGTGGAACCTGCATTGTCGATCTCGTCTATCAAGAACAAATCGATAAAGATCTCAGTTTATCTGTTCTACCAGGACTTTGTGCTGATCTGATTTGGGGTCTCGATTTTCAGTCACAACATGAGGGCGTTATCTTTCAGTATGGAGGATCAAAACCACCTTTTTCAGTATGTAGTTTCAGCAAACTTAACGTGGAGCTACCTGAACCACTCGCAACCCTAACGCCAGACTGCCACCCAATCGCAACAAAGTCCAGACGATATAGTCATGAAGATTCCGAGTTTATTGATAATAAATAAGTAACAAGACTTCTTGCAAAAAGTATCATAGAACCCAGTTATTCACCTTGGCGAGCTCAACTCGTATAAAGGATGAGATCCATAAGAAAAGGCTTGCCATAGACTATTCCCAAACCATTAATCATTTTACCATTTTTCATGCTTTCCTACCACCTAATATAAGTGAAATGGTCAATGAAATTGCCAAGTATCGGGTGTTCAACACCATTGATCTCCTGAGTGCCTACCACCAACTGCCATTTTCACTCGGTCACCGGTTAAAAATTAGGCTTTGAGTTAGAGGACTAAAAAGAGCGATCTGATTGGCTTCTCAGAGAACTGCTATTTCGCAGAAATTGAGCAGTTTTCGGAAGGCAAAATTATTCTATCAACATGTTTCAGTGTATTTTTTAAGGATTCTCCAGTGGTGCGGCAAAACTACCAAAGGGCCCATTTTCCTTGCCCTCCACCCAGGATAATATGCAATTGCCAAAGGTGTGAGCCAAGTACCGCATATACGAGTTAGCTTGGGGTGGGGTTTTAGAATTTGGGTCTCTCAAATAGCATATGGTCTTATATACAAGTTGGCAAGCCATGATGACAAATTTAAATGTTTATGTCTTTGACATCCAAACTCAAAAACAAATTTTCTACGGATCGACCTCGCACTAACTTTTCTGACAAAAGCGACACTAGGCCTAAGGTTTGGTTACGCGTTCAACACCTTGGTAAACAAGGTGAAACTTTAATTAAAAATTGTATAAAGAAAATACAAAGATGCCTTTCTCTTCCTGTGAATTTTATAGTTATTTATGAAAACAAAAAGTTTTCTTATTTTCCTTCCAACAAGGACAAAATTCAGCATCTTTCGAAATCTAATGTAGTTTACGAAGTGATATGTCTTGCCTGTTCCGCAACGTATATTGGGAAAACAAAAAGACATTTACAGACACGCCACTCTGAGCATACCAATCCGATCAAAAGTGCTATTGGACAACATTTTCATAACTGCAAACATGTGCAATACATAGTAATTAAACCTACACTTTGCTTTTCACGAACTTAACAACACAACTGGCACTGACAATAATGTTTCCACTTTTATTTCCAACTTAATAATTGACAATTCTTGAATTCTTTACACTATTAATTCTCGCATACCTAATTTTCTCTTGTTGTTAGAAGTTCTATACAGGGTGTATCAAAAAAGCGCAATCCTCGACTGAAATGTAAATTGCTAAACAAATAATAGACGAAAACGTTAAAGTTTACATTCATTTTAAAGCGTAGCCATTCAGCTTTCTAACAGTGGGTTGTTTCTTAAATTTGACTCATTGGTTCGCGGGTAATAATACTTTATGTTATTGAGATTGGAGATTAAAAAAATTGAGATGGAATAACAAATCGTTCTCATGAAAATAACTGATTTTTTCATTAAAACAAAAAATATTGCATTTTATTAAATGGATTGTAACAATAAGTATAATTACGGCTTTTCTTCCACTATTTTTAACTCAGTTTGAAACTTCAAATGCGATATAATTTTGGCTTGGACCATCTAAGCTGACTGACATCAACTTGCTATAATTTCTGTTTACATTACATCGCAATTCGCATGGCGAGAAATATTGGTCACGCACGCGCAGTAAATACACAGACTTGGAAAACATTTGAAACAAAATGGGCACGCAAAACTATAGGAGTTTGAATGGGGTAAAGAACAAGTATGGCCTTACCTCAAAACTCTTTTGAAAATGTTTCTCATTTCCAACTGATTTTGTTTTAAGACGTAAAACCCGATATTTTGATATAATAGATAGTATTCAGACGTTCATATCTCTTGCGGTTTTTCACAAAATAGCCAACAGCGTGTGAACATAGGGAAATGTAGTTATTGACGTCGAATTCTAGGTTTTGGCTATCGTCCATCTAAGGTTTACGCGAGATCAGCCAACAATATGCAAACGTTTCCAACGGTTTTCAAAACTTCAAGCGATGATCTTGAACACTCATCAGTGTAAAAACATGAAGAATATATATTTCTTGCGGTTTTGCCCTTCAAAGTCAGCATGTTTTGTGCTTATATTTTATCAAAATCAGCCGTTTTCCATCAAAAACACTTCGAGAACGAACTGAAGTTGTTTCTACAGCCAATTGCAGTTGAGCTTGCAGCTTGCATTTTAAACGCGTTGTTACATCGTTGAAAAGTATGCGTTCATTCCTTAGAAACACGCCGTTGCTAGGGGCGTAACGTGAACTTTTGGCGGGCATTGTTGAACTTCTGAACGGCGTGCAAACAAACGTATAACGAGTTAAATATTGTAAAAAGTACTAAAAACGCTGCTAAAGCCTGCGATGGAACAGTAAGGTATTTTTAGAATGCCTGCAGTCAAATTAGAACTCCCTGGTCGGTTTTGTGACAAAATCTAATTTAATTCGTCAACGCCAAGAATAGAAAAACATGTTTACGCCGTTACAACGCCCGCCAAAAGTTCACGTTATGCCCCTAGCAACGGCGTGTTTCCAAGGAATGAACGCATACTTTTCAACGATGCAACAACGCGTTTAAAATGCAAGCTGCAAGCTCAACTGCAATTGGCTGTAATCGTCCATCTTTGCTAAGCAACCAAGCCTTGGCTTGTTGCCATGGTTTCAAACATTTTCGAATATTTTTTCGCAATTTTGCTTTTTTTTTATGTTGTTGTATTCGAACTTACGCATTGCTCGCTTCTCTCGACAATTAAACGATCTATGGCAAAATAATTTTCCCCGTATTCATTCTTTCTCCTTTTCTTTTGGTTAGAAACAGCGTAATAATCAGCCGTCGTAAGATTGTCCAACTCTTTACAAAACGAGATAGTGGTCATTTTGCTGCACGCGCGCAAGAATTTTACCATCTGGGATCTGGGTACAAGAATTTCGACCATGTCCAATATTTCTCGCCATGATGACACTCTGGCTCAGACACCAGAATGTTTTGACGATTTTTAGCACCTGGTCTCTTTTAAAATACTTTTAATTTGTTCTTACGTGGTTTTCCAGATGTAGTGACGACAACATTAAAGTTTAAAGAAGAAAATTCTAGCATTTAAACTGACTAAACAATAACATAGTAAACTTGCATAATTAAACAGCAACTAAAAATGATAGGTTTTACTAAATCTTTTCTTGTGCAATTATTACTAGCATTGGAGTCAAGGATAATAGTTTGTTTGAAAGAGAAAAGAACAGGCTTTGAAGTAAGCCTAAAAGCGTTTAACTACAAATAGTATTTCGAAAGTTATTAAGCACAAAAGATGAATTGCGTTTATTTTGATACACCCTGTATATCAAGTACCATTCACCCAGTTTAATCACTGAATTCAAAGCCAGCAAATAACTTCAGCTCTTTTGGTAATCTATACACCCGCGTTTCATCATATTTACATCTCATTGCACCTGTCATGATTCTGATTGTGACTTCTATTTGATGACGTCATTATGCCTTGCCAACTTGAATATAAGACCACGTATATAATGTAGCTATAGTTAGTTCGATGATGATTTTGTAATAAAATCGAAGTACTAGAAATACATCCATGCAACAACCCCTCGCGTATATTTTCCAAACATTGTTTCAACAGGAAGTATTCTTAATTATGCCAACACTGAACGCATGCTCGTGTTGTCACGTCATGGCAACACGATAATTGTTTTTTAAACTTTTTATAGAAACCTGCGATGAGATTAACAAAAAAGTTATGTATGCAAAGCGAGATTATTACACAAACTGTGTTAACAGAAACAGAAATAATACTTAGCAAATGTGGAAACAAATTAATCAGTTAGTTAATAAAAATTCTAAATCAACAAATATATCAGTACTTGAAATAGACGAACAGGTTATTACTGAAAATGAAACTATACTGATTTGTTCAATGAACATATTTTGCTGATATAGGACCAAACCTGTCGAACCAGATCACGGAAACTAATACTGATTTGAAACGTTATATGAAATTTAAAACTCAACATAAGTTCAATTTCAAAAACATTAATATCAATGAAGTGTTAAATTCACTTGAGAAACTAAAAACGTCTAAGTCAATTGGACATGATAATATCCCAGCCAATCTTTTGAAAGATGCGAGTGATGCCCTGACGCCTTTTTTAGTATTTATTTTTAATACTTCACTCAAACATGGAATTTTCCCTGATGATCTTTAGACTGCAAAAATTTCTCCAATTCATAAATCTGGCGACAAAAAATTCGAGGCAATTATAGACCGATTTCCGTTCTTTCGATTATTGCTAAATTATTTGAGAAACTTGTCTGTGCACTGTTCAATTCTCTTTTAACTGAAAATAATATTCTGAGCTCGTGTCAGTCTGGTTTGCGTAAAAATTATTCCACCGCATGAGCCCTTTTAGCAAATGCGGCAGATTCATGGTTACTTAACATGGATGTTGGGATGATAAACGGAGTACTTTTTCTGGACTTATGTAAAGCATTTGATACGGTTGATCACGGAATTCTTCTAAGTAAATTATCTATCTATGGAATCCAAAATAAGGTCTTAGATTGGTTTAAATCTTATTTGAATAACAGAGCGCAGTACTGCAGGGTGAACAGTGCCACAGCGTTAGGGAAATACGCTGTGGGGTTCCCCAAGGATCGAACCTTGGTCCCCCTTTTGTATTTATTATACGTCAATGACCTGTCAAATTGCTTGGATAAATCCTGTCCGGCAATGTATGCAGATGATACAAATCTTATAACAGTCTGTTAAGATAGCTTTAATAATTTGGAGGAAGCACGAAATTCTGAAATGATAAATATTCACCAGTGGCTTCTTTTAAACAAGCTAACTTTAAACATTGAAAAAACAGAATATACGATCATTGGAACCAGTCAAAGACTAGCTAAAATTCAAAAAAATACCAGTGTATCATGTGGGGGGAAACTATTGAAACAGGTTTATTCCAAAAGGACTTTAGGTGTACTGATTGATGACAATTTATGTTGGAATGAGCAAATCGACAACATCAGTAAAAAGGTGTCGAAGAGCATTGGTATGCTTCGCCGTGCAAAGCCATTTGTTTCTTTTGAAACTCTTAAATATATTTATCAGGCTTTAGTGCAACCGAGTTTTGATTACTGCTCCATGGTTTGGGGAAACTGTGGCGAAGGTTCAAAAGAGAAGCTATAGAGACTGCAAAACCGTGCAGCTAGAGTAATCACAGGTGATACCTATGAAATTCGCTCCACTGATATTTTAAAGAAATTAAATTGGAAAACACTCGAAGAGAGAAGAAAGGAGCAAACATTAGCATATGTGACCAAAGCCCTTTCAAACCAATGTCCTGAAAACGTTTCAACTATGTTTAAAATCTCAAATTCTGATAAATATAATTTAAGAAGCAGTAACAAGATGCTGATGTTGTCGAAAACTAAAACAAATCCAATGAAAAGGACTTTCGGATATGCTGCTGCTAGAGACTGGAACTATCATAGTAAAAATTTTAGATCTACTTCATTCATTTTCATTATATATAGTTAACGTATCACTTCGACCCAAACATTTCTTAGTATCTTTTAATATTTTTATAATAGTATATATAATAGTATTTCGAGTTTTAATCTGCATTTAGTAACACGGCCTTTTGAAAAACAACCTTTATAATACTTGTAAATACTTATAGGTAATATGGTTGATTAGTTACCTTGTATAAAGATGTTATAATAATAAAAATAAAAAAATAATAATAAAATCAAACTTCGCATCAGACTTTAAAAAAAAAATACAGTACATAACCATACGGCATAGACAAAGGCGAAATTTTTCAGTTTTGGGTACACTAGTTAAAACTCTGAACATCTATCTACTCTGAGATGCTGGCCAAAAATATTACTTGTTTCCATGGCGACAGCGAGACAAGAGCTGGCAACAGAACGAAGCAGCATGCATAGAGTAAAAACCCTTGTTTTTTACTTCGGAGTGAAAATTAATCTTGTATGAAAATCAATCTGGTATGGTGTAATTCCAGCCTGAATTATGGTGCGTTTACAAAATTATTACTCAACTTCTACGAAGATCCACGATGACCACCTGCATTCAATCAAAATTCGTAAGACTCGCAAAACTCGCATGATTCGGAAAACTCGCATGACTCGCACGAATCGCAGCTCGCTTTAATAGCAGATTCGCAGACTCTCAAAATAGCCGAGCGCAGATTTTACCAAGTTATGGTGCTAACAACAAAATTAGGAAACGTTTGAGGGAAGGGCCATTGACTGTCAAACTTTCCGCATGAATTGGAAAATCGCAATGTGGTTGAGTAGATCTAATTGACTTTGCATGACAACCGTTCCGCGGTTTTCGCACAGCCTGGAAATTTTCGTAGATCTTGAAAATCTAAAATAGCTCCAGGATAAAATGTTAAATTTCCATTTTTAATTTGCTTAAAAAATTCACTCAATTCCGATTGGTTAAAAATGGGACAATTTTATATTCGCACAAAAAAGATGCGGAATGAGAGATACAATTACCCGAACAATACAAGCAGAACTTATTATATAGATGTTTCTCCACGAACTTCCCAACATGCAAAGGCAATGCATCGCTCGCAACTTCGAAGTTCAACTCCTATTTTTCAGGTAGTTGTATCAGCTCTGAAACTCGGCTCTCTTTTATCGTCATTATTCCTACACTGCTCATGCGGTCCGTTTGAGATTATCTTTACACAGTTTGTGCGAAAATATGAAATGAAATTTCCTATGAATGAAGTTCAAAACATTTTGCGAAGTGTTTCTGAAGCCCACCAAATACAAAAAAAACATATACCTACAGTATATATTTAACTAGAAAATACATGCATGCAGAAACCCTCGCCTTGCTGACAAAATCGTTGTATTTTCCGAACATGAAGTATCTAAACTAGTTGTCATGGTAACACGATAATTTTTTAAGAATATTCTTACAAATGAAAATCGCCTAAAAATATCACTTTTACTTACAAAATTATCAATTTCCCAACATATATATGTTAGGTATGTAATTACACGTAATACAAGCTTCAATTTAAGGTAAAATTCAACCACAAACAATTCACAAAACGTTTTAAAGTGTTCTTTATAAAACTAAACTGCCTTTAACTCTTAAATGGCTTTATCGATAAACTTTGAGTTTGCAATAAAATGATTTCAAATTCTCGCTTGCAAATAACTTTGCTTTGCTTATTTAAAAAATTCAATATAATAAAAAGGGATTCAATATTAAAGATACACTGAATGCAAACTTTAAATTGGACCAATCAGTGTCCGTTATTCATGACTGTCCGCCATATTTTTGAGATCAGTGAGGATGACCACCCATCGTTGGTGACCGACGCCCGCGCTCATTGATGAACTTTAGACTTCGCTAATGCTTTCGTTTCCCCGGGTGTAAATAGCCGGGGGGAATTAGTACCCTCGCACGGCGCTTCGCGCCGCCGGCTCGGGGATAAATTGATTGTTGTATAGTTAAAAGTACTAATTCTGTGATTGCGTGTTGCCATTTTGTGCAAAACAATAATTTTAAAAACTTTACAAATTTAAATATAATCGTTTTGCTAAGGCAACACAAAACGGCCGCCTGGATCCACTGTTGGCTATTATTAATAATACTTCATCTTAAGTCAACGTTTGAAGAGGCGAGCGGTGCAATTGGTGCGTGATATCTATTTCTATTTCCATACTAACAATATGCCGTCATTCATTATCTTTGATCCTTATATCCTAATCCCAAAGTTGATCGCAAGGACCGTTGTGTGAAATACTATTCTATATGTAGTAAACACATTATTGATACGTACGTAGTGCAGGTTTCCAGTGAAATTTGGATTTCAATTCCTCGTTCTTTTGATAGGGTTTTCGTGTCCTCAATTCCAAGCGAATATTCGTTACACCACATGGAAGTTTTTTGCAAGTATCTAAAATTTAATTCCAACAACTAATTCGTAACTTGGTAGCATTATCATTGTGGATACTAAGAGTTATCCAACAAGCTATTGCAGAGAATGAGCAATCGTAGTGGCAAACGCATTTGCCTGATAACTCGTAGCTAGGTTATGACTAACTAGAATATGACAAAGCAATTGGATATGGCATGCTTCGATCCGATTTGACGCCATCGTATCTCCGGGATGGTGGAACTGGTTGCGAATATGTTAAGCTTTAAAAAATCCGCTTATTTTTCTAAAATTGAGTTTTACTAAAATTGCAAGTTAATAAGCTTTAAAGAATCATTGTCAACCACAATGCATTGCGCGTCCAAACTTGGGTTGTCGCCATTTTTGAGCGCAATTATAGATGTTTCGGTTTTCAATGCATAATATATTAGTGCACTGTACCATCCTATGGTTATACTTGCTCATTTTAACTTTTTATACTAAAATTGGACCGAAGAAATGTTCATAATCGTCACTTGTTGCTATTTGTCACTTCCCAAGGTAAGGTCTAAACAAATGCATTGTGGTTGACAATGACTCTTCAAGAAACACTTCTTGGTACACTTCGTATGATGGATGTGATAAAACCGATTGCTTATAAGCGTAAAAATACTTTTTTGATAAACACCGTATTTAATTTATACTGTGCCTTTTTTCTATTTTTCCTCCGTGTTTTTGTATTTCTTTTTTCCACTGGATAATCCTGGCTTTAAAAGGCTTTAAAAGAGTGTCAGTTTTGCACTTACTTTTTGTTTTAAAAACGGTACTCCAGTTGCTATATGGTGACGATTTATTCCATTTTATTGCGATTACTCGGAATTTATAACCAGTATTCGGTTCAAGATCTTTAACGGCATATGATGTTTCGTTGGTCTAGTGGGTAAAATATATTATCAAATATATTGTCAGAATCAATACAGATATTGTGCATACATGGAAACGGGCTTTGTCCGTCGTCAGGACAAGTGGAGAATCAAAGATTGTCAGGTGTTTACAGTTCATAAGCTTCATTTATTAATTGGCAATCGACCATGTTATACAGAAGACAAATTCAATGACTTTACGAATATGTCTTTTAGGTTATGACTTGGGCTTGTGCATGTTACTCTTTAATTTCCGTGTAGTTTCTTTAATTTAAACACCTTGTTTCATTCAGTTCAATTATCTTTGAAGGGGAAGTCAGAGTACAAAACAACTTAGGCTGATATGCAAGATCATATAATGGTTACCTCTCACGCATTGTGAAACAAGTAGTTTAAATAGTATAAATTTGTGCCGCCATTTTGTTTATTTATGTACGTAGCCGGTCGGGGCGGGTAACAATTTTTCACTTATTTCCCGGGCGGGATACATTGCATTTATCTAAAGCCACGTGACTACAAATCAGCCAATCACGTTCGGTGTTCACACTAGCTATATAACAACTAATTATAATACATTATGTAATTACGTGTTGTTCCCCTCCATTAAGAAAGTTGAGAAAACTAAGATTTCCAGCTACTAAATGTGGACATATGTTGTAACATCACCTCCAAGTGTCCGCCACCTGGTTGAGCCGCAATGTTCTACTTTGTTATTTTGCTCTGTCTACTGTTATAAATTGGCATTTAGGCACGCAGAGAAGTGTGGGAGAAGCATTAATGGGTTAAGCAGATTTATATGCATATTCTCTTGTCAACTGATTTAGCTTGCATGCACTCTAATTTGTCATTTTACTTTGTTACTTTACTTTGTTATTTTACTTTGTCTAATACGAGGCAATTTTTACTAAAGGAGATCATTGTGTGTCAATGGGTTAACCAGACTTCCTGCTCGTAGTCTCGGGTGAAACCATTTAGCCATAATGCACCCTACTTTGATATTTACTCTATCTAATGCCAGAATAGTTTACATTATAAGGAGAATTGTTGGGAACTGTGATTGTTTTAAATAAACTAGATTAATTATCTAGACCCAATGTCTAAAATATGGAGACTACTAATTGAATAAAGTTTATCGAAGAATGAAGCAGATACTTATTCCTTACAACAATAACACTTTTAAATGGAGGGGAACAAGATAGTTGTAAATATTACATAATGTATGTTATCAGTAATATACATTCTGGAAAGGGTATCTCCTTGATTTGTGCTGCTTCATGGGTTATAGAAGCACAAGCTAGGACCTCTTAGCAGCAAATACTTTGCAGTGAGTACACAGCCAAAGGCATCTACATGTATAAAGCCAAGTTATAATTTAATGGTAAGCTAATTTGGGCTAAAGCATAGCAGTTGAATTTCATACGATTTTCAGCCATAGTTGGTTCAATTTCAACCACGAAATTCAAAGTAAATATTACTTAATAAAGTTTTTAATGCATGCTTTTACCTTTATTTGAAGAACAAACATAATAATAATGTATAATAGTTAAAGCCCCCATAATAATGTATAGTTGTGCATGTTACTGAAAAAACTTAACCTACATATCTACAGCATAAATAATAGAAGCAAATTTAATAAATAATTACCAGTTCGTGTCAACAAGTCTGGTGATTTTGCAGAACTTGACGAAGATTCCGAAGCCATTTCGCCCGAATCTACATGGTCACCGCTCGAGTCGGTTTCAACCGGTACAAACGAATAAAAGATAATCATGTTTACGTCTCTTTCGGCGTTCATATCTTCGCTATAACTCGATCTACTGCTTCCAGAACCATTGCTCGAAGATTCGTTTGAGTAATCAATATCCATTGTTATTCATACAATATTTCTCTTAAATTTATAAATACTATTTCGTCTCCGTGCACATGTATATCAGAAAATTAATGTACTAAAACCTGGCTGCCTGTAAAAGCCAACTACGCAATGACGTCACAAGGTAAAACCGCTGCGTGATCGCAGCTTCGCTGTTATGTACAAAATGGCGGCTGCGTTATATGTTAGATATTTATTGATTTTCCACGCGAGGTAGGGAATCGTTTACAATCAATCTCTAATGACTATCAGTTCTTAATGTTCGTCTTCGTGGAGTAATTTTCTAAGTTCACTTCAGCCTTTAAATCTTCGTTGTCTTTAGTCTGTCTTCTTTGTCCCAGTGTGCTGTTCGGTTTGAGTTTTCGTAGCTTTACATCATTTAAGCTTTATTCCGCATACGTCCACTGTCGACTTTCACTGTGCACGTCCACTGTCGACTTTCACCGCATACGTCCACTGTCGACTTTCACATGTGTCACCGACCGCTCCGTCGAGCTGACCGGTCACGGATTTTAGAGCTCCCTTGATTATATTCCTAATAGCTTAATTATGGCTACAAAGAAACTAAGGGAAGAAAACGAACTCCTACGATCGGAGATCGAAGGGTTAAAGAACCAACTAGACAAGATAAGCGAAGATTTGAAAACACAACAAGCTACTGCAGCATCAAAGTCAAGCAGAACCGCTGAAGCGAAACAGGCAAAAGATACGATCGAACGAACCAACTCTGAGGAACGAGCAGAGGCTGTTGTCTTTATGAGCAAACAATATGATGATCTAGAAGTATTCCGTAAGCAAGCGACGCAAGATATTCAACAGATCACAAAAAAATTGGATTCAATCAGTAAAAAATGTGATGAGATTACTGAGGCCATCGAACTGGCCGAACAATATAGCTACCAATACAACATTAAGATCATGGGCGTACCGCAATTAAACGAGAAAGAATCGGCTGAAACTACAGCAAATCTTTGTATCAAGCTGTTTACGGCTATGGGCGTAACTGATGTATCTTTACAGGACATAGACATTGCACATCGTGTCCAATCTAGAAGACCTTCACAAAATTCCAACCCAATTATATGTAAATTTGTCCGTCGACTAGCTAAAGAAAAGATTATGGCGGCTCGGAAACATGCATTAGATAATATCACGCCCGATCAGCTTGGTATTGAATTGGCCTATCCTTCAACTACACGAATTAGCATGTTTGACCATTTGACACCACGCCTACAAAACCTTCTGTATGAAACAAAAAGGTATAAAACGAGCAAGGGTTATAAGTTCTGCTGGGCAAGAAACAGTCAAGTTTATTTAAGAAAATCAGAGAACACTGGATTAATCCGTATAAAAACACTGCAAGACCTGACCAACCTAATTGAACAGGAGTCATTAAGATAATCTGTTAACAATACCTCAGCTATTTACAAATCTGATGACGAAACTGACCCAAATAATTATCGCCCAATATCTCTTCTATCCTCATTCAATAAAATTTTTGAAAACATTATGTATAAACGCTTACAAAGTTATCTAGTTAAGAAAGAATTTTTCTGTGATTCACAATATGGTTTTCGTAAACAACATTCAACCCAACATGCTATTCTTGATATTATTAACAAAATTCAAGATAATATGGATAGAAAAATGTACTCCTGTGGTATACCTGTATTTATTGACCTAAAAAAGGCATTTGACACGGTTGATCATGATATTCTGTTGGGTAAGCTAGATTATTATGGTATTAGAGGAGTAATCAATAACTGGTTTTCTTCTTATCTTAAAAATCGCACGCAAACTACTTCAGTTGGAAACTGTGTATCTAACAAAGAAACTACCTTGTGTGGAGTACCCCAAGGCTCAGTTCTTGGACCTCCACTCTTTTTGATCTACATCAATGATATTTGTGAATCATCTGAGATTTTCAAATTCTTTCTTTTTTCTGATGATACTAACTTATTGTATGCTGATAGAGACCTAAAAATGCTTGAAACAGTTGTCAACGCTGAATTAAAGAAAGTCTGTGAATGGCTTGCAATAAACAAACTCACCCTTAATATAAGTAAATCAAATTTTGTAATTTTTCGACCATATCAGAAGTCATTGAATTTCCAGCCTGTAATTGAAATGTTTGATAATGATACCAAACAATATACACCACTTGAATGCAAAGAATATGTTAAGTATCTTGGAATTATTATTGACTGTAACTTGAACTGGAAGCATCATATAAATTATATTACATTAAAGATTAGCAAAACTGTAGGAATCATTTCTAAATTGAGATATTACATCCCAAATCATACCTTGTTAGATATTTATAGGTCATTGATTTCACCATATTTAACATATGGTGTAGTTGCTTGGGGAAATGCTGCTAAAGTTCATATTCAAAAACTTCTTGTTTTACAAAAGCGTGCATTACGACTCATGAATTTTAAATCTTTTCAAGATCACGCAATTCCTCTATTCCTTTCTACCTACATTCTTCCTGTAACTATGATCTATGTTAAAGAATCTGCTTACATGCTCTACGATATATTAAAAGGGGATGCGCCTGAAGCACTGCATAAATTATTTACCAAAACGTCTAATTATCATAACTATGATACAAGAATGGTTTCAAAAGATAACTTATATATCAATTCTTCTCGTCTGGAATTACAAAAGCGTTCATTTTCCAGAGTCTGTACTTTAATTTGGAATAGCATTGATCTCAATCTTCGCTCATCTCGTAAACAGACTTTTAAATCTAAAATACATCAAGCTCTTTTAACCATACTTCAAGATCAAAATGACTATGTTGACGTACCCATGATAATTGAAATGCTGCCCAATGCAACCGCGATATAATTTTCAGCTCATCGTAACTTTCTAATTGCTTTCAAAAAGAATATATTTGTGTTATGAATAATATTTTTCATTTAAAAATTATCATAGCCAATCGGAATCTAAACTCTCGTTCTGTAAATAATTCATTTTACTTCTTCTCAATATAAATCAGTTGTATATATATAATATTATTTAATTAGATTCATTTCCTGCCGCGATTAGCTTGCTATTGCAGGATTTGAATCTTGTATTTTGTCATGTGTATTATTCAAATAAAGTTGTATTGTATTATTGTATTGTATTTTATACTAACGGTCGAGGAAATCTTTGTACACGCGATCTAACAAGTGGTGTGATCCGTATCCAGCCAATCAACGTTGAGTTTTAAAAGTGTGGGATGGCGTTGCTAGCTCGTTCTAGCTCTCACATTCTGTTTATTTAAGGCGTTGTCGTAAAGGTCGAGTCGGTTCGCTGTTCAATCGATCAATGTTAAAATATGTTCACAACTTAAAATACTTATCAAAATATAATAGTAAAAACTTCAAACTATACCTATGTGAACATAACTTTACCTACAAGACTAAATTTACTCGTAATTTTATTGAACTAAGATTCTGATGACGTAATATGTTAATTGCATGACCGAGTGTTATCTAGCTTAGGATGACTCATATTTTACGCCTGAGTCTGTCCACGTGAAAAGGTCAATGTTCATGAGACCTCAGGCAGCTGCCCTGTTTAAACAGATCTGCCCACAAGACAAACTATAGGAAACAGGTCAATCAAAACATGACAATTTTACATACACAACTGCAGCTAGTCTAACAAACCGTCACAGCCTAATGGAAAAAATAATCAATGTTTTCCGAAGAACCGAAATATTTACGTTACTTTGATTTGTGGCAAAATATCCATTATCTCTTCTCATTATGCTTGAAGTAATATTTGCTTGAACGAACATTTCAGTTGCTCTCAAGCAAACATCTTCTGTGTTATTTTAGTTTAGCCTAAAATTTTATATATAAGTAATGTTTCGTAACACATATGTAAATTTTAGCACATATATCGCTTTATTTCTCGACATTGTTATAACTTGGAGATGTGGGACTTTGCGCGAGAGGTAAGCATTATATGATCTTTCATATCAGCCTAAGTTGTTCTGAACTCTGACTTCCCCTTTAAATACTGAATGAAGCAACGTTTAATTTAACGTGCAGTTCTACACAAAATGTGCAGTTCTAAATCCATTTGTGCAGTTCTTAAAACACCAATGTGCAGTCACCAAACTAACAAAAATAGCTTTAATTAAAACAGTCTTCTCATTTATTCGTTACCCTTGTGGATGCTCCAGAAAATTCCAGAAATGCTGTAATTTTCTCACAAATTACTTACGTGCTGGGATAATGGAAAAGAAGGTAAACTTGGGGCGAGCGAAGCTCCCCATAAGAGATTAGCGTGGGAGAATCTAATATTCTTTGCTGCCTCAAATGCAAATTTAAGGTTGTTATATATTGAATATCCATGATTCCCAGTTACATGTTTTGAAACAGTTTTTCCGAGTGGTTGGGTAAAACAAATCTTTGCCAGAACTTAACAGCCTCTAGATCCAAATTGTTTTCGTGTTTGTCTGGCCTTTTTCCAATTCTCCCACACAGCTACACCATTATTCTGTCACCCCTATATGCAGGTAAAAATCGTTCGACTCCCCCCCCCCGGCAAAATACCCGTTGTATTCATAACATCTCTATTATGCTGCGAATGACTTTTTGTTTGGCTCAGTGGCATAGCATGCAGCCTGACGATCTAGTTCCGCTATGGAATATTTCCGTGCTTATTGACTGTGAAAACGGACAATTTCTAAAGACATGAATATAATGGTAATAATTTTGAATTTTCATAGCGGGACTAAATTTGTCGCGCTGGCTACGTCACAGGTCTGGATGAGTAAGAAATCAAAATACACTTACATAGTGGTATTTCCTTGTGTAAGGAAACACAACAAAGACATTATTCCTCTCTTCAACGCCCCATTGTGCCTTGACTTCCAAAATATAATAAAGATCACTGTATCCCTCCAATTCTGACGTATTGAGGCGCAATTGTATCATTTGCCTTCCTGCATCTACCAAACTTGGTGCTGCAGGCTTTGGTAAAGTTCTTTTGTAATCTTTCGCAAAAATATTAATGTTAATAAACGTTAGACATTGATAATCAATTAGAACAAGAACCTTCTAATTCTTCTCAAAAAATGCCCACGTAAATATAAAAAAAATGACGTCACAATAGAGTAAGTAAAACTTTGGTGCACAGATTAACGTGACTATAATTATTTGGTAATAATATTATGTAAAAATATGGTGGGTAAGGGTTAGGACTAATAAACTATACTCCCCCTCTTCAAAAAAAAATACCGTCGACAATATTTTCTAGAATTGTACTAGTACAGATTGTTGAAAACACCAAAATTTGCGATTTCGTAGTTAAATCGACGCCTGCATGCACACAAGTGACGCACATTTTCCCTTAAAGAACCGTTTTTTGATTTGCCGTTTGCGCTCTTCGGCAAACGTCTAAAAATTTTTTTCAATAATTTGTGAAAAACTACTCGTTGGCAAGGATGGATCGGGGTGGTGGTGTTTGCGCGTATATTAAATCTAACATTGGTTTTAAAGTTCAACAGGAATTGCACAATCGTTCATTCGAAGCGACATGGTTATGTCTTCGTCCAGACAGATTACCCCGAGGCTTTTCTTGTATTGTAATTGGGATAATATACCACCCCCCGCAAGAAGATGATGCTCCTTGCATGGATATTTGATTACATCATTGGACTCATTTTGGGCCCGTTTAACAAATGCAGAAATTATGTTGCTCGGTGATTTTAACCGCGCCTGGATTATCAGTTCATTTGTAGGAATTCCAATCTACAAGAAATCGTAAAAAATCAAACCCACATGAATGCATTTCTGGATCTTATTTTTACAAATCTCTCGCGCTTTTACAGGGTGACCGAATTTTTTCCCGGCATCGAGTTGAGCCACCCCAATTCCCTCAATACACCCCCCCCCCCTACAATAACTAAAAAGACTAGAGCTGAAAAGGTGCTAAGAAGAACTGTGAAACCAAGCCCGAAGACCAGTTTTGGAAGATGGGTATCAAGTACAGATATATTGGTCCTTCCTGGAAATGCTGCCCAACGCAACTGTACTGAAAAACTAAATGCTTTTAATGAGCTGTTATGTTTCGCTATTGACAAGTTTTTCCCCTTAAAAAGCTACAAGCAACACCCAGCGGAGTCCAGCAAGTGTAAAAAAGGGGAAAGCATCAGTTTCTGACAACATACCAAGCTGGATCTTAAAAGATTTTGCTTTTGAGATTTCCTCACCAGTTGCTGAAATATTTAATTCATCAATTCGGGAGACTTTACTTCCTGATCTATGGAAAGAAGCTGAAGTGAACACAATCCCGAAGAAAAATGTAATCAAAGAAGCCGAAAATGACTACGATCCATTTCCCTTACCCCAATTCTTTCAAAGACCATGGAACATTTTGTAGCTAACTGGATTATGGCACAGATTAACCATGTCATTGATCGAAGACAATTCGGAGCCTTACCGAGACGATTCACAACTCATGCACTTGTGTCCCTTTTCCACCATCGCTACAGCCTTTCTGAGAAACCTGATAAATGTGTAAGAATTCTCTTATTGGACTTCACTAAAGCATTCAATAGGATAAACCAGCAGATCTTGATTACCAAAATGGAAGAAATGGAAATAGACCCAATCCTTGTAGCATGGGTAAGAAACTTTCTTACTGGACGAAAGCATCGAGTAAGAATAGGGAAATTTTTTTGTAGTTTGGAACCAATAAATGGAGGTGTCCCTCAGGGAACGGTTTTGTGAAGAAGAAGAAGAAGAAGAAGAAGAAGAAGAAGAAGAAGAAGAAGAAGAAGAAGAAGAAGAAGAAAAAGAAGAAGAAGAAGAAGAAGAAGAAGAAGAAGAAGAAGAAGAATTTATTCGCACCAGTCAAAAATACATAATTACAAATTTTTTCCACACATTATTAAGACAGAGTTGGCGCAGGATATCTGAAATAGCTTTAACACTAATCGAAATCAGATAACTTTATTAAAGTAGTCGAGCCACTGTGGGTCAACATTGGGTTTAAGGTCATGGTGCACAATGATTATACAGATGCAAATTAAAATTTATAGACATATGAAAAAACAAAAGCAAGCATAAAGCCAGTAATCATTAATTATAAATTTGATTTTAGTTAATTTGAAAGCAAATGAAAAACAGAAATAAGAATAATTACTATTAATTCTTTATAGATGTAGAACAAACCGGTTTAAAAACTCGTACATCCTATTGGGATTTTTAACGAAAACTGTCATTTGTAAAAACTTCCTATCATAGATATTTAATGTTTGTGATACTTTTTAAAGACATCATTATGAATTCTTAATCTGAAATCTTAATTAATTGTTGTAAAAATAATTCTTCATATATAATTAATTCTAATCGCCTGTAATATTAATTTAATTTCGACGTATTTCAACCCTTGGTTGCAATGTCAGAAACTTAAGAAACACATTTACACAATATTTCAAATATTTCCCTTAAATCAACGGCACCTTTACCCAATTGCCCGCCACGGAAAACAGCAGAGGAGGCAATGCCCTCCGCTCTGCGGCGTCCATGTCTGCACACTGTCGTATTACAATTGAATTATATATTTCTTAAGTCGAAATTAATTGATTTTCATAAGTAATATATTATTGTATTCGCTTGGAAATAATGTAAAAAGGAAATGTGCAAGATTGTTAAAGGACGAGCAGTGGCATTTTACTGTAAGAATGGAGTTAGATTTAGGGTAAAATCAGTGTTGCATAACGATTGAACTGGATTAAGTACATTTGAGTTTAGACTTAGGTTTTATAGGGTTTGGGTAAGGATTTGAATGACAGATAGGATTGTAAAAATTTTAAAAAATACCTAAGATATCATTACACAAAGGGGTCACCTTTAGAAAAACGTAATTATTACATAGACCTCTTTTTCTTTTCGAATTTCAGCTTACCTTTTTCCACCAGCTCACCAAGAGTATCTTGTCGGCATGTCATATCACAAACGTATGCGTAATCTGTTCTCAGCTACACCACAACAAGAAAATATTATTTGAGAATTTAACATTACGGACCATTTCAGCTCGCTCACAGTAATTATAAAAGGGCTATTTTGGACCCATAGGCCCATTTTGGGCGAAAACAGAACACGAGGGGCCAAAACAGAAGATTAGGGCCGTTTTGGCCCTTATTCTTATAGCTGTATTGGCCATGTACAGTGCCAAATTGGAATATTAATCTAAAATAAGAATTATGTCACTTTCCCATAAGTATCGTTTTGGCTTTAACCGAGGCCAAACCGGATCACAAGGGCTATTTTGGCACCTCAAGGACCGTTTTGGTCCCTGTTCTTAATGCTATTTTGGTTCTCGTATTTAGCGCCGTTTTAGCCCCCATATTTATTGCTGTTTTCGTCTCCATATTACGTTCTGCTTTGGCCTCCATATACTCAGTGCGGTTTTGATCAAGTAATGGTCAAATCGGGATATTATTGTAAATGACCAAAATTCATAGAGCTAACTTTTCTTCAGTGTGAATAGAGTAAAACAGGGACTAGTTTCGGATACGGAGCCAGATTTAAGCGACGTCTCGTAGAAGTTCTTGTTCATGAAATCGATGGTCCGAGATTTGCGATGACATGCATAACATGCCATCACATGTTGTGACATGGGAAACGTTAATTAAACCATAAAATTTTATATTATGGTAATTGACATACAATTTTTTTAGAAAATGTATCTTCGTTATTCGATATATATAAGAATTTTCATCATTTTTTGTGATCATTGCTTGGCTAGATTTATGCTTCACACAGTCTTCAGCTAGCAATAGATTCGGAGCGGTTTTTGGTGTACCTATTTTAGAAGACAAGGGCCACGCGCGCAATGAGTTGTGTTATGTCGGGTATCAAATGTCAAGTGTGATTTGTAAAGTTTTGACTTTTTCTTTTGAGTATATTTTGATGAAGAAAAGCATGGTTTCAACTTTTCGTCATATTGTGTATTGGATAAGTGACTCCTAATCATGTCCAAGACCTGTTTTATATATATCAGGAATGAAATATTTATCACTTATTCACCGAGACCGAGGGAAACATACAGTAAAAACAAGTTGGTTAAAATGACCAAAAAAATTGGTCGTTTGAATGCATCTGAGACAACCAGTTTAAAGTGGTCGTTTTAACCAAAAAGTAATTGGTCAAATTGACCAATTATTTAATTGGTCAAATTGACCAATTATTTATTGGACAAAACAACCGGAAATAATTGGTTGTTTTGACCAATAAACAAATGGTCAATTTGACCAATTAATTTTTTGGTCAAAAAGACCAATTTAAACTGGTTGTCTCCAGGGGCGCCGGAGCTACGGGGGCAGCGGGGGCAACTGCCCCCGTTGCCGAAACAGTGCGGGGGCGGCACGGGGGCAACAGGTTGCCCTTTTTCACCCGAACTGCATGCGCTTCGAAATTTGTGCGTTATTAATATGAATTGGAATTTATAACTATTTTAAGCAATCTTTGCTTAATTTTAACCAGTTGTAGTAAAATTAATGCCAGAGGCCGCGGAATTACTTTTGTATAATTGTGATCAAAATCAAACGATTTTTGAAAATATGGAGTTCCTATAAAGTCGGAAATGGCCTTTACACAGTCTTTACTACTACAAAAAGGGCACTTCCTTTCTAGCCCCCCAAAAAGGCATTTTTTCACTTTTAAAATGTGGACAGGCACATGCCCCCATTGTCCCCCGGTTCCGCGGCCCCTGATTAATGCTAAACCAGGCAACATGCGTCTGTTTACTGATTTTATCAGCGCCCTTAACATGGTGCAACAAATAAAATTGTTCAAAATTAGGCCAAATAAAAAAAAAATACTTGGTTAGCGTCACACTCTCACAAATTTTCAGAGGCGGGCGGGCGGATTTTTTTAAAAATTTTTACTCGTTTTTTAATTTTTTAATAGTATTTTTGGAGGGGATGGGGAGCGGTTTTTCCACCATATCGGTGATATTTTTTGTACTGATGTTGCGAAGGCCGCCATTTTGCTTTAAGAACCTTGTATACCCAAGCCTACGCGCTCCTATCAATCAGTATATAGCGCGAAGGTCTGAACATGAGAAAAATTTCAAATATTAAACTGTTTTAAGCTGTAAAACGAAGAGATTTACATAAAAAAATAAAAAATAATTCAGAGGCGGCAGAAAATCGAGAGGCGGGCGGTGACGCTAACCAAGTATTTTTTTTATTTGGCCTTAATGATGAAGTTTGCCGACCCACAATGGCCACAAGTAATCCAGTATCCATACAATAAAGTTTTGACAAATATTGCCGCCCAGAAAAATGCTTGCTTAGAAGCAAGTGCCCTTTTTAAATGGCTGCGCCCGCCGCTTCACATTGTTTCCGGCGCCCCTGGTTGTCTCAGACGAATTCAAACGACCAATTTTTTTTTTGTCATTTTAACCAATTTCAAATGACCAAATTAAAATTGGTTAAACATTTAAATTGGTTAAAATGATCAAAATTGCATTCCGTTTCGCCATTAAACCATTCAAAACGTGCTTGAAAACAATAATTTATTACCAAATAAATATTAAGTTTAAAATACAAAATCAATATACAGCATATGCAATATAATAACTTATAGGGATGAAACGTCACACGAAACCTCTCTGAGTGTAAATATTTCTACAATATTTACTCGTCGAAGGCTATCAAGTCATATAGCCAAAACTTGTGAAAATAAATATTTACATGCATGCAGTCAGAGAACCATTTCATATTTCACAGCGGACTCCGTTTGACCGTAAATTCCAGAGCCAAAGGGGCGGGATTACAGTTGGATTTAGAGACATGTGGCGGATAAACAAGAAAGGCCGTTGTTTTCAAAACGGAAAGCCCATTTCTCCAAACAGAGATGTAATATTGTAGACGAAATCAAATTTTAGATTTTGTTGATGTAGCGATGAACTATATTTGTAATGTGCAAGTCAGGAGAAGCAAATGCGAAGGCCTTTATCGTGATATTTCTCTCCTTCTCTAACAATCCTTTTATTTGAAAGTTGAAGTAAGACGACGAGAAATCAACTTCCGTGTCGTCAACTTCGGTTGTAAGACGTGCATGTTTCGAATCCATCGTTAGAGAAACTCATTAGATTTTCTTCTATCATAAAAACGAGCGTTGTTCTCCTTGCAGCATAATAGTCGTGAAAAATTAACTTTCACTATGGACATAGTTATCGATAACTTTATTTAGCAAAAACAACAATGGCAACGAAGTGCATGGCACGCATTAAACGGCTTCTATCTATTGCGCGCCAACTGTAATCCCGCACCTTAGAAATATTGTCATTGTCACAGCCCAACGTGCTTTGCGAACGCA